TGACTCTAAAACAACAAGGTTCTACCAACCATGATGATCCATGGCATCTCCATGATAACCAAATGGTTATGGTTGCTTTATGGAATGATGTGATGAGTTTCAGAATGACATGTTTCCAACTTCAAGTATTCTGTAATTAGTCTCCAGGGTTTCATTACATGGAGACAGGGGGTAATTTTGCATGTTGTTTTGACCAAAGTGCCTCCTGTTTTTAGGATTTGGTCTTTATTTTATGAAATCAAACTCTCGAATATATTCACTTTAATGCAAAGACTTGACCCAATCCATTATGAGAGTTCCTATTCTGTGAGTTTTGTCTGTTAATTTACATTGTATTGCAATGCCACATCAGTTTAATATGATTGAAGATGAGGATAAATGGAGGAGCTGTTTCTCCTCCAGGAGACAATGGGACTTATCACATATGCATATAGTTAACTGTATTGGAAATACTCAGGAAAACATTGCACATTGTTCATGTGAATGAATGTAAAGTTGCCCTTATGCTTCATTTTGAGCCAATTTCTAAGGCTACATCTTAGATTGCAACCTTTCTAGATTTAGGCTAAGGACAGCCCTGCCTTCCTGGATGTAAACCCTTCAAAATCACTTTGATGTTTTTGATGATGTTTTGAAGACCTCTTCTTATCTCCAGCTGTATGTTTGTTGACACTGCCTGGTGGCCTTGTTTACTATTTAGAATGCAGAGAGTGAGATTTAATGAGGCAGGCATGTTTTGAAATCCAAAATTGAGTATTAGGGAGAGAAAACGCCAGGAATTAAGTGAACACTCATGTAGGAAAGACTGTAAATTCTATGGAAATGCAAGAAAATCAAGCAGTTTATTCAAATTTTAGAGAGAAAAAGAGCAAAATGGGGTGGAGACATTAGCAGATGAGAATATCGTGGATGGATTGCTTCAAGGGGCATGGGTTCACTCATGGTTAATTCACAGTCAACCTCATTCCACTTAATTTTTTTTCTAAAATTCATATGTACTGTATATGCCTGAATGCTTTTGTTCCTTGTTGTTTCCTCTCTATTCACCCCATATTCTTTCCAAAACATGATCATATTGATATGGATATGCTTAAATGGCTTGTTTACTGTAAGTTATGCCAGTTAAATCTGGGTCTCCCAGGTCAACAAGTGCAATATTACAATATCAGTGGTGTTTTTCATGAGCTTTATGTTCTGAGATTTTAATAGAGTACCCTGAGTCTCAGAGCCATCAATCGTAATACATAAGTATTCATTGAAAGTCTTGATTTTTTCTAAATATTGCTCCTGTGAGCCTGTTACTATCCCGTTTCTTCTTATTTTCTGCAGCATTGCACATTGGAAAATTGATAGGGTCATGATTTCTCATGTTGATGGGGATGAGGGATGGGGGATGGGGGAATGACTTGTTAAATGCAAAGTATGCTTTCTATACAGGTTTGGGGAAGTAGGTAACAGGGGAATGGCAGAGATTTGATGAGAAACTACAGGGTATCCATAAAGTTATTTTAGAGATTTGTATTAGAATTATAAAAAGACTGAATGGAATGTATATTGTACCAATAATAGTTCATCAACCTTGATAGATGTTATCCAAGTATATTTGAGTGCAGCCAGATTATATGTGCATCCAGGAATAAAACAACATGTTGAACACTGGCTTTCTCCAGATAAGACTCCTCTTGAAAATATTTTTACATTTCATCAGTGCTTCAGGTTGTTGAATCACATCAATTTCTTCATGTTTTTTGCTTAAAATGGCCGTCTGCTTGTGTTAATTTGGCTCAGTTTCTCTGTAAAATTTGAATGAAGTGTCTGATTTTTTAGCAGTTTTAAACAATTTAGAGTGTGAACTACATGTCTGTGTATTTTATCCTTTCCTTTTTTCACTATTTTACTCTCTATTTTGACTTTCAAATCATGACCCTGTATTGTTTTCTTCAGGTTTCTTTGTTGTTTGCATGATTTGTTTACTAACTTGCTCTTCTGTTATCTTTTCCAATATGGTATCATTAAGGATGAAAACAATTTAGCAGTGTATAATAAATCACATCTGATATTAAGGTAGATTTAAGGTAGACCTTAGCTTGTAATTTAAAGGTTCAACAACCCCAGACTTCATTTCATAACACCTTTATCTGGGGTATCTGTTCCCGAATCAAAATATTTTACTTAATTTGGTTATTTCCTCTTGAAAATTTGAATGAGGTGTCTGATTTTCTTGCATTTCTATACAATTTATAATGTTCTCTACATGTCTGTTTACTTTATTCCTTGCTTATTACTCTCTTTTCTTCTCAATTTGCCAGGGAAAAATATAACCACCAGTGCATTTTTATCAGGTCATTCACCTCACCTGGTTCCTTTCAACAGTAAGCAAAAATGTGTTTTAAAATGAGCATGTGTTTCTTCCTGAATACTGTCTATATATAGAAAGAAAATAAAGATAAATTTGATTTTATATTTAAAAAAATTATATTTAAAATAATTAAAATATGCAAAAACATATACATTACAGTACTGCTGCTTAAATGGGTGGGAAATGTTGTTTTTTCTGAGATAATTTTCATAAAAGGATATTCCACATCTGTTTTGTGTAATCCTTCAAACCACACCCTCTTAACAGAGATAATTTGCTAATTTCTACTATAATCTGGAGTTTAATGGTGTTTTTGATGATTGGAGCGTCTGAGGTGATCTCAACTATGTCCCATATATACAGCGAAACTTGTCGAAAATGAACATTTGGTAAAACTGGTTAAAAGTGTCCTTACATAGAGGTGTTCACATTTAGAGGTTTTGATAGTTTATGAGTCAATGGAATTAAAAGAATAGAAGAGAAAAGGTTCAGACTTTGTAGAATATAGGAAAATGAAGCAGAAAAATGTTTGGAAATTGATATATTAACTTTAGTTTCACTGTATAGGTAAGTTCAAATCTGTTTGTTTGTCTTGTGATAGTGTTTGTCGTCTCATTTTGCTCATTTGTTAGATTTTCCTTGTGAAATATGTAGATATTATGTGTTTTAAGAATTCTCATTATTAGTTTATAGTTATCTCTGTTGCAGAAGTAAAAACTTGATTTTCCTCAAAACGTTGGATATTGGCGCCATGGCATTGTGATTATGAACCATCTCTTAACTACATTGAGAGATCTGAAAGTGTAGAGAGTTAGGACTAATAGGAGATTGATGTATTTATTTCAACAATTATTTCCTTATTATATGCTCAAATTGATATTAAGTTATTCCCAAAATAGAAAAATCATGATAAGTCACTAAGTTTTGGGTGTATTTAGTTTGTGGTTTTAAAACCACATTTGACATATAGTGGGAGAAATTAAGATTAATAGAATGACATTTAAAACACATGACAAAAGATCATATGACAAAACCGAAATAAAACCTCAAAATAATGGAACGGAATTTTCATTCAGTACAATAGTATATTAAGTAAAGGAAGGCATAGTAGGATCATTTTGGGATTGAGTTTACTTTTAAAATATTTGGATTGAGCCAGATTTTTGATTTAACCCTGCCTTCCTTAATATAATATTAGTTTTACTGAGGTTAGATTAGATTCTAAAATGTTATAAAAATACAGGGTGTCCAAGGCCTATTTACTTTACCTTTGAGACACTTAAAAATTGGGTTTAACTTTATTTTGATATTCACCAGCCATTGTAGAAATTGAAAAAATATATTCAATTTGTAGGATTTTTCATGGCATGATCTTGATGAAAGTGCATAATCTTGCACAGTTTTATTCAAAGTCCTCGTTGTCATAAGATGATTTAGAAGGCAGGAGATGATAAAATAGATAGAAATATTTTTGTAGGTTTAGGATATCATTTAGGAAATGGTCATATCCTAATATGATTTTTTCAGTTTGATTGATGAAGGTCAGTTGCAGTCTAATATTTTTGGTCTTCAGTTCTTTTGGGAACAAAATATCATATATTTGTTCATGTTTTGAAATCACATTCACATTCACTATGACTTATTCTGTCGCAGTTTTTGAATCATACAATATCACGATCAGCTCATCACATCATCATTCTATCTGCCTGGCTTATGATTTGAGAAAATGAGGATCCAATAATCGAGCCTCAGAACAGTCTTTACCCAAAGGTGCAGGGTTCAGCTGTCTATGGTTTTATTCCTGTACATTATTATATATGTACTGTACTATATGTTTATAAGGAAGCGGTTACTATCAGAAAGTTTTCTAAGAAAACTGGATTTGTAGACATGCAAAAGGAACTCGAGAACAAATGGGTTTGCACTGTGTGACCATAAAGTGTTTCAGTTACATTTGATTGGATTCTTTTTGGAGTTTCTCAATATAAATTTGCTACAACAGAAAGCTGTTCAAAAATGCTTCAGACATTTTATGTTTACATTTCTGTAAGAATCATAGAATTTTTATGAGGGACCAGGGAGGGGAATGCACTGAGTCACATTTGTTTCTTGCTTCGAAAATTTGTTTCTCCTGGTTGCCATAGCAACACTGTTTGTTGTCTTTGAGTGGGAAGATGTCACGATTCTGGCTCTGATCCAACTTGTTTTGAAGGTTATCGTATAACATGATGTTTTTATTAAGATATGTTTTTACAACTTGTTGTTGTGTAACTTTCTCTAATATAGTACCATGTTGCTATGTAAGTTGAGCATTTTGTTAACATAAGATGAGAAATTTTATCCAGTGTTTCCGCCAAAAAAGCTCTTGATAGACAACATGGTCATAACCTACAAAATGTACAGTTCTACTCGAGTATATTTTCAGCCTATTTTCAGACTCTCGTTTTGGTTCCTAAAACAATTTTGTTGTGGTATACTTAAAATGATTAAACAAGCTTAAACTCAAGCTTAGACTCTTGTAGTATATGATACGAAACATGGATGTGATTCTGCAAAATGAGCATTGTGAGATCTTGATACTCATAAAAAAATCTTGAGAATTTAAGTCACTGAATTTAATGTTCTGTTCTTATATTTCCAGCGGGCTCTTACGTCACTCTCACACTCCTTGGGCGTCCACCAGGGGGCAGCACTAAATCAAAACCCCTAGAGCCACCTCCACAGCCTCGTTATCAATCAGGCGGGAGCCATAACACAATATCACACCTTGCCTCACCAGGATCAGGGAGTGAGCGCCCAGAACGGCACAGCATACATTTAGACAGAATCAGCAGTCCATCTGCGGCAGAGGTAGGTGTTTTGTTATGATTATTCCAAATCTCATTATCTTTGTATTATTGTTTGCATATTTGTAGAATCAGGATGGTATTATTTTTGTACAAAGATAAATGAACTATAAGAAGGGGCTAAAAGTCTTCATATGGAGGACTGCTCAATAGGGTACCATTATATTGTACTTGTTTTGCCTAACTGTATTGTGCCGAAAGGCTATTTTCATTGCCTAACTGAAAGTATAATATTGACCAAAAAGTGTTGATTTTCAAAAGAGTTATTACATGGTTTTACTGAACCATCTTCAGAGTATATTTCTACTGGTGACGGCCCATTGGTCTATATCCTCATGGCGCACTTGTCCTATCTTATCAATATTATCATTATGATTTGCAAAGTTTAATACTGAATGCTGAACAACATGCACTATTATTATTTTGTTTGTATTGTATTATTTAGTTGTCATATTTTCTGTTATATTTTATCTAGTATATTGCGATATATGTATTATTGAAAATTATTAGTTTCAATTATTTTCTTTCTCTCATTCACAATGCATTTTGGGTTATCGTGGTGCACAATTCTTAAAGTATTAAATCAAGGTGATCATATATTTCCATATTAGGCATTTCTTCATCGTTTATACTTGAAAAATATTGGAATTCAAATGATCACCCTGGTTTTTAGCATGATTACTTCGTACTCTGTCATTTATCAATTCCACTGCATTGTTTATTTAATTTTGTACCAGGTGTAAATGCATCTTAAACACATACATGCATGTTGTCTTCGTTTCATTTCTCAGGGTCACTCCAAGCATAGAACAGTGAGGAGTAACAGCGATAGTCCTCTGATTAAAATTGAGGGTCCTCCCAGGACTGATCGTAGCCAAAGTGCAGGGGCGGGAGCATCCTCCCTCAAGTCTTTCGTAGAACACTCTCGCCATAATCTGTTCTCAAAGGTGCCAAAATCCCCTAAGGTTTTAAGGTCTCCGAAAGTTGGTCGGGCTATTTCTGAGCCACACCGACCACGAAGTGGGAGTTTCCCTAATCCTGGTCCCCCTAGTTCCATTTTACTTGTAAGTCATTCACTCCTCTCCCTGTCCTGTTAGACGTCTGCTTTTAGTGCCTCATTTTGAAAAAAGTCATGGAGGTCTCGTTTTCAAATGCAAATAGAGTAGAAAGGAGTGGAATTTGCATGGAATAAAGTATATAAGCATGAAGTTAACACTCTAAATTGTATAGAAGTACTAGAAGATCACATACTTCATTCAAAATTTAGAGAGAAAATTACTAAAATAAGCATGATGTTATGGCAAATTATAACTGTTACGTGAGGCTACCACCCCTCCTACGCAGCACATAACAGACTAGTCCATATCAAAATTGAATGACCCACGCTCGCTTATAAACGTAGGTTGCCAATATGCATCGTAGAAACTCACCACCCTCCATTTTCATATTTTAGAAGTTCCACGCATGAGACAATATTTAGATGCACAACATACTTTTTGTATAGTTCAGAATGCACGTTATACAGCACGTTCACACATTTCCCATGCATGATATGTTGCTACAGTCAAATGGACAGCCGCAATAAACCATGCATTGTCCTGTGTAATCCAACAGAGCTTGGTCTTATTTTATGTCATTTTATTGTGGCTGTACATATGCTAAGTAATTTCAGTATGATTATTTTGTATTTATGTGTTATTAATTTTATCCTCTGTTGCATGTTTTCATGGGCTTTCAATAGTACAATAACGTCATTTCGAAGGGCAATATAGTGAAATATTGGACCGAGTACCGAAGGACAAGGGTCCAATATTTCACTCTATTACCCGCAGAAATGACGTTATTATTAGTATTATTACCACCGTTAATGATCAGGACTGAAACAGCAAGAAAATGTTACGCACTGAACGATATCTAATTTCCCGGGGAAAATTGCCGGTCGTTAAATGCATTCTCGACCGGTCTGAAATGCATTCTTGACCGCCACTATGACGTCACATATTGCTCAGGTCGATATAGTAAAATGAATGCCTTTTAAACTAGTACTAAAACCCCTAGAACTGGCCCGGCAAGGTGGTAAAAATTCTAGTTGAAAGCCCTTGATGTTTTGTAGCGTATATAGACAGAAACTTGGCTTGGCTTCTCTGTGTTGTGTTTTTAAATATATTTTTGCTTTATTTCTGTAAAAGAATTGTGAGATTATTAAAGTATGAAACAATACTATTTCTAATATTATATTTTTGATTGAATTGAATTGAAATGACATAATTCTTCAAGTGTCTGCAAAAAATGAAATGAATACAAATATTAAATCAAATTTTAGCTAATCTATTTCACTTTTTAAATAATTTATCTTTGTTTAAATTCATTTAATATTTTATTTGGTTGTTGCTTTCATTTTCATTTCTGTGTATGTATGTTCATTTACGTCTTTAACTGGGGGCCACCAAGACTACTGTATCTTAGTATATACAAGGACATGTTACAGTTCTATAATACACATAATTTTATATAACTTGTAACATATAAGACATATAACTTATATCAAAAGGTTTCTATCTTAGTGTGAGAAAGGGCTAGTCTAACTAGAACCCCCTGTAACCCCCTCCCACTACTTGACTATACATTTCACACAGGGGAGGTGTGTTATAGGGGGGGGGGGTCTAAAGGGCTTGTAGCTGGACTCAGGAAAAGCAAGCCCATTTTCCATGTGTTCTCTATTTATGATGATCCACAGCCAAATAGTTCGACTTTGAAGTATGAAGTGTGTCTATGAAATAATGAAGTCTGGTTAGGAAAATAAGGAACAGATTGAGTTAATAGAATATTTGGCAAATCTTGGAGTTATAGTTGGCATTTATGTTCAAGGTCTGCAAAAGGCCATCGCAAATGAAACTGATTATATACTTGCTCAAGTGGCTGAGGAATGAGAGACTGTATAACTTTTAATGATCATACAGTAAAAGGTGTACATGTTGAACACCATTGGTTCCATTATAAAGTGTTCCACTTAGGAGGTGTTCTTCTTGTGTAGGTTTCATTAAAATGAAGTCATGTGACTGAAAAGTGTTCCATTAACAAAGGTGTTCACTTGTAGACATGTTCTTGTTGGATTAACTTGAAATCAGTGGTTACCTACTGCGAGGTGTTTCATTTATAGAGGTGTTCCATTTATAGAGGTGTTCCATATATAGAGGTGTTAAGGTGTTCCATTTATAGATATGTTCCACTTGACTGGTTTTATAAGCTCATTTACATTGGTATATTCATCCTAGATTTCACCCAGAGCCATCTTGGATTTCCAAAATTTGTGAATTAAATGTGAAATATGGGGAGAGGGTAAACTTTCACTCACATATAGTTATTAACCAATCCTGATTATCATTTAGTATAAATTTCAATTGAGGAAAAGTACTGAAGACGAGAGAAGAGATGCCTGACAACAATTTTTAATTCTACAATTGATCTCTTTGTTTGGATGTATTGAGGAATATGAAAATATAAGAATGTCTGGAGATCTTATCCTCATTCATCAATAAGATAAGTAGATTCATCGACCATGAAATCTCATGACAGAATATTGACAACCACCATTTATATTTCTTAATACGATCGTACTGATTCCAGTCCATTCTCTCTCTAAAATTTGAATAAACTGCCTGATTTTCTTGCATTTCCATATAATTCAGAGTGTTCACTACATGCCTGTTTACTTTATTCCTTGCTAATTCCACTCTTTTCTCAGAATTTTCTATTTTAAAACATGATCGCCATGTCTTTTTTCTGAGGTTGGATTTATAGAACAGGTAATGGAAATAGAAATATTCGAAGATAAATGGTTGCTATAAATACTATTTCTATCCACTTTTTCCCAATGCTATTTTTACCTCGTACCTGTCAGGTAAAATACAATACCCATAGATCAGCACATTATTTACCTGGTACCCTTGCTTCCTTTTTTCGATTTATGGTCAGATTATTTGAATTGTGTCCTCGGAAGAATGTATGATGAAGATTGAAAGTGTCTCATTCGTGTCATTGTGATCGTGATAGGTCCAAGTTTACATGATATTATTGCTTTTTGATTTTTTGATTTCTTGGTGGTTGTTTTTCGGAGTTTTTAGATTTTTTGTTTGAGGAGTTTCTATTCATGGATGAGAGTTTCGTTCTATACATGCAGGTTGAGGTATTTCAGGAAAATGTCTTACTAAAGAATGATATTTTAGGGCTATATTGTTGGTATATCCACCATCCAAATGCAGGGCTTCAGATATCATTCACTCTGTTCATTATGTATCTAGAGTCTACCATACACTTTTTGTATCAAGATTAATATATTTTATGAAATGACAAATATTCAGGTTCAATTAATCAAAAAACTACAAGGTCTTAAATTCAACGGATGTATTCCAAAAATGTGACAATTTCTAAAAATATGTTTTTGAAATCCCTAGAAAGATGTTTGTAAGGAGTATATTACAGAGGTTTTTCAAATGAGAAAAGCACTAAGAGAGTGCAGTTATCAAGGTATGGCGAAGGTTATGTAAACAGGCATATACGTACATATGTAGTCTTGAAATGCATAGAAGTACATGTACAGTAAAACCTGTCTTAATTGGAACACCTTTGGTACCTTTAAAAAGTGTTCCACTTATAAGGTGTTCCACTTATAGAGCTGTTCCACTTTACAGGTTTCACTGATGATTTAGAAAAGAGAAATATTTTTGAAGAAAAGGCATGATCAGAAAAAATTGAATCAAGTTATATCGATTTAACTCATGATAACAACCTACTGTTTCTGCACTTAGATTCATCACCACGCCATTTCTACGAAAATCTACAAAACACCTTCCATTGACATTTTAGTTACTAATTTTGTTATTTGATCGTGCATTGAGGATGACACATATCATGGATGATGTTATCTATTTCTGGTATATGCTGGCGATGGGCTAGCTGCCTACATGTACAGTTTATGTAGGATGATATATGACACGAGGTTTCCTTTGAAAATATTGGAAGTTGCACCTAGTACTTTTAGGTACTCTGTAATTATGTTAAATGCTGTCATATATATCAAGATAAATGTTCATTGTTACACTGGATATATCTCTGAATTTCCTGAAGGAGATACTTTTTTTCCTGAAGGATGTTTTTCCCAATTTTTCATGGGATACTCTAAATTCTATGTTAAAAAGTACCCTGGGCCAGTTTGTTTGAATTTTTAATGTAGGGTTGGACTGATGTTTATTATTACATTATTTGGTACAAGTTATGATAGCACAAGTGGAAGGCCTTCAATTATCTTGAATTCATTTCTTAATTTCATGCCTAGAGATCCTTGGGATCAAGATGGCCTCATGGAAAATTCTATAATCAATTCCAATCCCTGGGAGGTGTCATTCTGTTTCTCGTCACAGCTTTCTGTTTTGCGACTGAGATAGATCGAGAAGACGTGCTTCACCATGATGTGGAATTGTTCAGTCATTTGTTTTTTTGGTGTGAAAACAACCTTTCAAGTTACAACTCTTTAAAAACATATAGAAAATGTTTTATTTGAAATATTGAGCTGTTAGAAAGGAAAATGGGTTGTACATGCGAAAAATGTCAAGGAGGTTTAGTTTTGAAATGCAAAATAAAGAGTGAAAAAGTAGAATTGGCAAGGAATTGTGCAAACAGATATGTAGTTAATACTCTAAATTATAAAAAATGTCAAAAACTAAGGCAGTTTCTCCAAAATTTAGAGAGAAAAGCTTCGTTAAGGTATCGTAAAAGAGAAGATTTAGACATGGGTATGTCATTAATCTTGATATTTACGGACAGTTTATTTTTATCACAATGCCATTCTATTCATAATCACATTGAAAGAATGATACAGATGCATTAAATGAGTAAAAGGGCCAGAATGACCTTGTTAACTGCATATTATCTGTAACATTTGAATGTCAACTCAGAAAATAACAAAAAATATAATATAGGGAGTATGAAAACATCACTGGGAAGAAATCAATAAGAAAAATAGCTTTTTGAAATGTCCTTTTGCATATTTTGGGCAAACTGTTGTAGGTTCCACTAAATGAAATTACTTGAATTATTGGCGCTGCATGGTAGTCTTGAAGAAAGACCCCTGGACCCCTCTACCCTTATCTAGTTCAACTGTTGTTAAAGTTAGTATGGGAGGGGGTCTTGAGGCAAGACTACTGCATGGGTAGTTTGAGCCGATTTAACCAGGCAGTGACTCTGAAATAGCAGCCTACCTGTAGCAAAACCTAAAATCTGTTACAGTCTTCAAATCTAACATGCTTAGGAATTTTAAAGGAAATCATTAGCTACATTCTAAACAAATTTTAGCATCATTTGTATATATGTTCCAGTAGTTTAGAATCTCTAAGTTAAGAGCTATGACGTCAGATTACAACTTTTTTTATTCCAGCTCATTCAATGAATCATCACATCTATGAGTCATTTAATCTTATAAATAAAAAAAAAGTATGATCGTGTTCATTGTTTTCAACATTTTCTTATATCAAGACACACGAAATATAATTAAAACTAGGGTCACAATCAAAATGTTATTGTTATCTTAGAGAATTTCAAGCATATATTCTGTTCTTTTGATTGTAGATGGTAATATATGAATATTTGAGACCACTGTAATTTTTTAGAAGGGTATGTGTTTTACTTACCAGACAAATAACTTACCATTGTAACCTATGTCCTACCCTTGCAAAAATGATGTCTAGAATTAATTTCTATTTTGATGTAAAATCGCAAGGAAAATTATAAAATACAATGATATATTGTCTACAGTTGTTAAGTAAATAGTCCTTGAATATGGAATTCAATTGTTTACTCAAAGCAGATATTATAAGTTGTATAAATTGAAAATGGTTACCAGATCGCCCAATTTTGCTAGAAAACAGTAGGTCATGATGGGCGCTATATCTCAGAGAATATTGGGGAAATATCAATTACTTTTGATCTATTGAAACATTCTCATTTGCATGTATGGTTTATCAAGATCATGGTTGAATGCATGTTTCAAGCTTTCCAATGGTAGTGATCAAAGGGATGGTACCATTGAAAAGCAGTTATCACAGTTTCATTACTTCAGTTTTGGATTTCAGTATTTCTGTTTTGTGTTTGTAATCACATTGAAATTGTCTGATGGCTCAAATGTTTTGTCAATATCTTTTTTTGGTATTTGCAGAATTATAGTTATTTGGCACATTCTTAAATAGCATCTTTTAGTTATTTTATATTGAAATATAGTAAACCTCAGGTTAAACGATGATCTGTTGTTGCCTATTCTTTACATTTTCTCTCTTGAATTTGAATAAACTGCCTGATTTTCTTGCATTTCTATACAATTTAGAGTATCAACTACATGCCTGTTTACTTTATTCCTTGCTGATTCCACCCTTTACCACTCTATTTTCCATTTTAACCCCCCCTCATTATCTGTGATTTTTTACAAGGAGATATCATTATTATTGTTTATGCTCACATCAACACATTGTGCATTTATCCACCCCAAACAAGTGGTTGGTACATATATGTTAGCTGTCTTTGGGAATGATCTAATTGAAATTGAAATATTTGGATCACAGTAAGTGTTTTTGAACAGGTGACATAATACAGTAGAACACCCCCATGTCATAAACAACAGTTTTGCTTTAGAAACGCAGAGTTTGACTTCGATAATGACGACTTAATAAATTGACACAAATAAATATAGTATTACAACAACAATTGGCGGAAAACACACCAGCTAAAATCTCCACCCAGATTGAGACCTGTTTTTGAATTTTAGATTTTGAGCTGCTGATATGTTTAGATCAAGTGACAAAACGGCCACACACCCTTAAAATAGATTGTCAACATGTTCCGATCCTCAAAATGAGAAAATTAAGATTTAAAGTGCAATGTTATAAAACTTTTGTTTTCAAAATGATTTAACATTAACATTAATCTATTTGTTTACATTTTGAACTTCAGAACAAACCAAAAAAAACATGGCCAGATAGAAATATATTAAGATATGATTACAGGAAGGATCACATATTACATATCTAAGGGCTGTGTATCTGAAGAAGGTTTGGTCATCTTGGTCAAAGTTGGATCATATTGGCCAGCTAACATGGGCATTATTGCAATAACTTCATAATTTATGTATAAATAGTTCTCTATGATGAATTCTAAAAATATTGAAAGTAAGCGTTTTCTCTGCCAAATTTTATGAAGTGCCTCATGGCAACCCTTACAAATAATTTATCCCAATAAAATATCATCATTTGAAATGATATGAAATTATGACAAATTTTCAATCAATTAAAGGTCATCATAATTTTATGCTAACAGTTATTGAAGGAAAAATTGCATTAAATGTTTAAAAGATTATTTATAGCGTCAACAAGTGAAATCCCTGAATTATTTTTCATGGGATTTATTTCCAATGCCAAAATGTAATGTTCTTGCCCTGGTAGAGTTTTGAATAATTTAATCCAATCCTCTGCAGACGGTTTCTGAAATATTTCACATTTTCGTATTTTTTCTCTCAAAATTTTGAAAGAAGTGCTCAATATTTTTACATTTCCATGTTATTTAGGATGCGACCTTCATACTTGGTGAATAATACTCATACACGAGCCCCCTATTTTGTGTTATTGATAAAAGAAATGGTGTTTTGGTTTTTGGGTAGGGTAATAAACTGTGTAACTGCAGGCCAGTCAATAATAGAACATTGTGACATAATACAACATAAACATAGACATTCACAGAAATCATATACAGTGTAAGAGTTGATACAAGTAAGGAATGACTAAGTATAAAATATAAGATTTAAATCTAACTGCATGCCACTGTTCCGTTTGCAAAATGTGCATAGGATATACTGAACAGCAGAGGTAGCTGACAAGATCATGCTACAATCTGTTATTCTCAATATAAATGCAAACTCGTGCAACGTTCAAAGTTAGGATGACAAAAGTTGAAAAAAAGATTATCTTACATATTATACAATACTCAATGGAGTTTTAAAGAAATCATTCTTAGAGCAAAATATACTTGACCTAAAGTAAGGAACAGCATTTGGAAATATTTTTGCTTAGATCAAGACTTTGAGGATTGTGCATGATGTTCAAAGAGACATCAGTAGGGATTAGCTAGCATAGAACAAGTAAGAAGTTAGGAACAACTACATAACACTGAAGTTGAAAATAATCTAGTTAAATGAGAAATGAATGGCTTACAAATTTAGAAACCATCTAAGACTCCAAGATGATGAAAATTGAGTAAAGATACATGATAATGTGGGTTATAAGAAACAGATGCATATCTCTCAGTCCCTGTTCTGTCTCATCAGCAGCTTATGATGCCAGCAACCAGGATAGGATAAATCTCATATTCTTTCCCTGATGTTGGATTATATCGAGGAACTGTGTCATACATTTGTAAATGTTAATTCTAATATTGTTTTGTTTGCAGCATTTTAGGCAAGTCTTAATACACGTTTTTGACCCTATGTTTCAAGAATTTACTTTCTATTTTCAGCCGGGAAAGGACCAGGAGCTAAAGAGTCAAAAATATATGACCCTGCGTATGATGTATGATAGTTCATTGGATGAATATGAGGTAAATATTTATTGCATGTTAAGGAACCAAAAGGTACTCAAAGGTATCCCAAAATATATAGAGATTATCCTATATGAGGTTCATGATATTGGGATTATCCCGAGGCCAATATAATATATCTGCCCGAGGGCCGTAGGTCCCGAGGGTAGATATATTATATTGGTCAAGGGATAATCCCAATATCCTGAACCGACTATAGGATGATCTGTTTATCCCATACCAATCACATTGTTCAATTGGCCAAAGTTCAGAAACTTTGCAACCAACCGTGGAATTATTTTAAAATATTCATGTCCAGTTTTGTATTCTTGTCCGTAGCGGGATTTTCCTGTTCAAATCTTTGATTATTAACGGGGCATACTGCTCCTTCCCTTCTTTAAAGTATCAAACAGATCGCGATTGTCTGCGTTTTTCTCCATTGTCGTTTACAGTATGCGAACGTTACAAAGAAGAACCAATACGGGAACAGCGATTATGACGTAGCGGGCAGATATACTATATCTGCCCGCTCAGAGCGGGACGTAAAGCTATATCTGCCCGCTGATGAAAATATAAGTTTTTACAAACCGGCTTTATGTACCCGTAACACGTCTAAGTATGGGATAAAATGAATTACATAGCAGAATAACCCAACCCCTTTCTTTCAAAAACTATGATCAGCAAAACTTAATCAACTTTTACCTTCTCTCAAATCGTAATTTTTCATGTTTGTATATCCCAGGCCAAAGTATATTGCATAACAGAATGCCTTCACCCTTTTTTTCCTCTTTAGAACGATGGTTAGCAAATTTTATAGACTTTCCCACTTCCAAAATTAAAGTCCCAAATGTTTTATTATTAAGACTATGCAATAGACTGAGTCCATACGATGTCTCTGGGTGGGGGGGGGGGGGGTGTTTCTAAACGCAAAATGAAATGGAAATAGGAGAATCAGCAGGGAATAAAATAATAGGCATGTAGTGAACACTCAAAATTGTATGGAAATGCAAGAATATTAGGCTTTTCATTCAAATTTTAGAAAGAAATTGAATAAGATACGCATGGCTAGAGATATGCCAAAGTCCTATTAAGTTGTCTAATAAAGAACGCCTCATATCCGGGTTACCCATTTTTGAAGTGATTTATTTTGAACTCCCTAATATCCTTCATTTGATTTAATTTTCTATTTGTGGATTAAAAAATTCAGTTTTTCATAAGAGGTAATAAAAAGTCAAAGGTCCCGTTTGTTGACATTTTGAAAACATGTTTTGGTAGAATTTCGATTTATATATATTAAATTAATATTTTTCTCATAGCAGGCAATGTGGTGTTAAAAGTCTTGTTGACATTTTCAAAACACCAGTCATGTTATGCATATAAAATGAAGCTTTTATAGATTGAACATATTCAGAAATATCTAGGTGATTTTAAAACATTACAAACAAATGGATAAATAAGAAATTATGTTCACAGGAGTACAGTAAAACCTGTGTCTTAAAAAATCTTTTTTTGTCCCATATTTTTTTGGTCCCATATTTAAAATCTACCATTGACTTCCATATTAAAAAAAACCTCGAAATGTGAACACTTGCCAATCTGAACTATTTCTGCCAGTCACATTATCAAGCATTACTTTTTTTGGGGGGGGGATTCTACACAAGCCACTAATATGTGTCCAGTCAAGACATTAGCACTCTGATGCTACCTTTATTTCAAGGAACAGTTCATTTAGATTAGAGAGCTTTTACTGTATCTTCTTGAGCTAGAGATGTTCTATCTAGGTATTCTAGGACAAGTTTACCATTTTACATTTAATAACACAGAGTAAAATTTTAATTAAAATGTGTTTACTAGAGAGATGTTTCACTATATATCTTTCCATGTATAATATCAGGCTTATGATAGATATAGCAATGATATGTTTTTATAAATATTTTTAGCCTCAGGTATTGCATATTGCTATCTATTTTGGCATTATAATCATGTACTCTAAACATGTTCTATAATGTTTTAAACTCCTACTATATTGTCAGTTTGTTGCCAAAATGTTAGTATCTTGATTTAATGTTTGTTAAGGATTTCATCCATGAGGAGGTAAAAGAGAGAGCAGAGGTTGGGATTTAGAATAAGATTTGATGTTTATAACTGTTTATAAGTGTTATTTACCTTTGATATTCATTTTTTAAAAGTTTAAAACATTTGAATTTTAACAAGTGTTTTGTATTGACAAGTTGTATGCATTAAGTCTCATTGCCATCCTTGTTCTTTCACTTCTTATTCTGGTACTCAAACGCAGAATATGGGGAGGGATGGGGATGTTAGGCCAAGGGGAGGGGGAGTGTTAGGGGAGGGGGAGGCAGAGACTTAATGCTTAGATATGAAAATCCAAAGCCGAAACATTTTTATTAGTAAGGAAAACACAGAATTAAATCTTGGTATATCAAAGGAAAAACTCAGGGGGTCCATAAAACCTGTTTACAATTATAATACAAAGTCTGTATAAAGTATAAAGACACTTTACGGACACCCTGTATTTTGATTGATATGATATTTTATTGTTCTTTAAATACTTCTGGGCATAAAATGTATGATTGAGGAATTGGTTGACAAGCTTAGCAATTTAAATATAAAATATTTTCTTTTGCAGCAATTAAGAAATAAGTATTCACGAAACCCGTCAGACGAGCTTCAGGGAGAACTAAATGAGGCCCATAAGCGGGTTGTTGTAATGGAAAAACAATTGAATGCAATAGGATTCCCAGTTCAGCCCCAAACACCAATTCCATATGTAAGTAATTTGTAGCCATACATTGCATTTATTTTACATTAAAACTACAGCTAAGTGGAACCCTGTGTAGGTGGAAGCTCTGTGGCCCATTTACTTTATGTTAGTGGAACACTTAAGAGGAACACAAAACTGTTCCACTTACACAGGTTTTACTGTTATGTAGATTACAATGTCATGTGCAATTTGACTTTGTTGTTGATATTCTAAATCGTAGGAAATGTTATAGATACTTTTTTTAATCTAATAATGGCATGATAATATTTTGCTTCTATACAAATTGAGTAGAAGTTACGAAAACAGCATAGGGTGTCCAAATAGAGATTGCCTAATACCACATTATAAAATGGATAGGGATTTATCTTAGTTAGCATGAAATATTTTGATAAATATAAAATCTGCACAGAGATATGAAATAAAGTAAAGCTCAAAAGTAAGCCAAAATATTGGATAATATGTTTCCATTGAATTAATTAATTTTATCGTTATAGAACCAGCCTGTCCCTAGTACCCCAGGAGCAACAGATACGGACAGACCCCCGCCCTCACCCATGATGGACGCGATAAACGAGAATGAAATAGATGGCTCTGCCTATCAGTTTCCGACTGAAAAGAAAGCAACGCCATGGGTTTGTTGTTTTTCACAATTTTATCCCGTTTGATCTTTAAGTTTGAATAATACAAAGTGAACTGGCAAGAATTGAAAATCCTGACAGACTCATCCTGTTAAAATCCATTTGCACCCAGACAAAGATACAAAGATACGTAAAATAACAATTTTCCACCATTTTCTCACAGTATCTTTCAATTACCAGAGAGAACATTATTGATACATGTATGTACATGGGTAGTAGCAAGACCTTACCATACCATGAGTCCCAAGTTCCCAAATATACATTATCCCTTGCCCTAGCTATGATATTGCCAAGCACACTTGGGGTAGCAATGGTATGACGAGATCTGGTTAGAGCCAGTTATATATGTACAGAATTGATAAATAGAATGATAATTTTATTGCACATATGATTCATGAAATAAAAATTCATTATTCTTTATTCTGTGATTAGAACATTTTTATTTACTTTGGCTAGCTTTTCAGTCATATTAGATAATTTATCATCATCAAAAAAGATTATGTCTCCAAGGATGACATTTAAGTTTATCAGTATACAAATATTTAAATAGTATTTTGATATTTGATTTTAGTTGAAGGGAGGTACCAAACACACAAAAACTCGTTCAATGCCCGAGGAATTATTTCACGTCGACCAGTTAGTCGAAATGCCAATCACAGAAGCCAACGTTGTAAGGTCACATTCAGATGTGACCGCGCCCAAATTACGAAAACTTCAACCAGCGGATTCATATCCAGATCTTGCTGAACAGAAAGCAGCTGCCATGGAGAAATCACGGGTAGGTTTCCTGTCACCCCTATAATTACCCAGGTCCATTGTTGATACACAGAATGGAAGAGTTTATTAGACTAAATTAGGGGTAGATGAATGCATATTTTAGTGAAATAATTTTGCATGGAAGTGCTGCAGTAGGTTATAGTAGTGAATGCTTTATGGGCAAAATAGTGATCATTCTTTTTATATAGATTATTGCAAATATTTATTTTTGGCATATTCATGTAGAAATTGCTAAAGGGAATTTACAGTACAGATTGTGGATTTAAAGTCTGAACTTGAAGTTGTAACTTTCGTTTCATATTTAGCAATTTTAGATCGTAGGACATTCTAACTTTTGGTTACAAGAGAGGTCATAGCTAATCTCCTAATGGTCCTGTTATTAACCAACAGATATTTCATAATCTAAGTATTCACTCTTCTTTGGCTTTTGATATAAAAAATATTCTGATTGAGAATCTTATATTTTGGGAATATTAATCATTTGTTTCCCATAGCAACTATTTAAAATGTTTAAATTACTTTTCTGTTCTTAAATAATAAGATGATTGGGTTTGTATAATAATAACATCATTTTCCCATACTATAATAACAAAATATTTTTTATTTTGAAAAGTCTTTGGATATGAGGAGATCTGTAATGATGAGAAAGGTATGCGTTGTCATAGTAACATCTTAACAATACAAAACTGTTGCTAAGCAGTTTCTTTGGTGATGGAAAAACTATTTCTTCATTTATTTACATTGATTTATTGATATCAAAACTATGACAATAAAACGTTAGTTTATACAGCTTCTTGATGCTGTTGCTATGTATGGTTGTCATGGTAACCATATCTTAAGATGTAAATGAATGAAAATGCGTGTTATGCTGATTGATTCTAACCATTTTTTGTTTGAATGATCACAAATGACAGTTGCTTTGCTAGTAAAGCTTAAAGCTAATATATTTACTTGTGGTAATACTGTTCACAAAATAAGTATATCCATGTACATGTAGTCTACGATGTACATGTATAATAACATGAAAATAACATGAAAATATTATGATAATATGTACAAAAGTGTGCCAAATCTAAAAAGAAATAGCCACATTTGTTAATTCTAGAATGTTTCTAGCTTTTTTAAGTTGTCTAATATGTGTTGGGAATATATCTTGGTCATTGTCCAGCATATTATAAATGTGAATTTTTTGGTGATTCTTGAAGGAATGGTGTTTTTAAGATTTTTCAAACAATTCTTTTTTGATTTAAGTTTGTACCTAGTCTCAACTCAGTTCTTATTACAGTATTTTTCAATATCCTTCTCTTGATATATATATTTTAGAGTACCATTAGAAAGGCTTTATTTTGGAGTATCATAAGCAGTATATTGTAGGGTTACTTTATGTTTTGTTTCTTTTTGTCCAAGGTCTAATTGTTTGGAGTTAGGGTTTGTCAATTAATATTTTTGTTTGTTTAAAAATATATGTTGGCGGAATAAGATAACGCATTTTTGCGGTATGATTAACTCATATTTCCTATTATTATCTCATGTCATACTTTTCTTTTGCAAATGTGTTCTTTCTGCTTTTATTTGTGTATACGTATATTAATGCAATGATTGTGTGTAGCAATTCATAACATAAGCAAAGCATAAGCCTCTGCTAAATGACATGACAGAAGCTTATATTTATCGAGTTCAAAACCTAAGCCTGTATTATATGGCAGTTCCTAAAATAAGCCTTATAATGCCAGTTCATGAAATAAGCAAAAAATCTTAGTTCATGAAATAAGCCTGAATAATATGGCAGTACATAGCATGAGCCTCTGCTAAATGACATTACATAAGCCTATATTTATCAAGTTCAAAACCTAAGCCTGTATTATATGGCAGTACGTGAAATAAGCCTCATAGTCCCAGTTCATAAAATAAGCCTAATAATCCTAGTTCATGAAATAAGCCTGAATAATATGGTAGTTCATAGCATAAGCCTCTGCTAAATGACATTACATAAGCCTATATTTATCGAGTTCAAAACCTAAGCCTGTATTATATGGCAGTATGTGAAATAAGCCTTATAATCCTAGTTCATGAAATAAGCCTGAATAATCCTAGTTCATGAAATAAGCCTGAATAATATGGCAGTACATAGCATAGGCCTCTGCTAAATGACATTTCATAAGCCTACATTTATCGAGTTCAAAACCTAAGCCTGTATTATATGGCAGTATGTGAAATAAGCCTTATAATCCTAGTTCATGAAATAAGCCTGAATAATCCCAGTTCATAAAATAAGCCTGCATAATATGGCAGTTCAAAACCTAAGCGTGTATTATATAGCAGTTCATAACATATCACATTATCATAACTTCTAAGATTATACCATGTTGAACATATAAGGTGGATAAAATAGAATGAAAAATCTAGCTAATTTAGAAATTGGACATATTGCAAACAAGACAAAACAATTCTTCTTTGTCTACCTTAATGTAGTTTTTGACTGTCAATAAAACTATATAGGTCATGTTAATCATTAAACTTCAAATAAGATCTTAGATAACAGTTGGATTGCTGCTCATTGACATTACAATTACATACTTTGTACACCTTTTTATGGGATGGTATATTAAGGATGGTTTTCTAAATAGTTCACAGTTTCTTTTCATCATTTCCTGGTTGCGTTTTAGACTGTGTCACTGCCGTCGAGTGCTTCGTACGAGAGTGGAAGTATGTCAGATTCAGAGACAAATATCAGCCCGCCTGCTTCTCCATCGCTTGCACCGATTACAACAGCGTGGAGTGAGGAGAACCAATCAGAATCTATGGAGGAGATCGCTCATAATAGCTCTAATGATACAGAGGTAATTACTGGCGGAAAACTTCAAAAACTGTTTGTTCCAAAAATAAAGAAATGAATGAAAGATATTGTGCTGCGCTTTGATTATTATGATCTCATTTGATTTTTAATGCAATTTACTTAAAGGAATATTCCTTGCCAGACCCTTTCTCTCTTGATGTGGTAGCTATAATCATATATATAGTTTCCATATTTAGCAAAACATGGGAAAATGTTTTAATATGGTCAATATTGATCATTTAAAAATCTAGTGCTTATTTCCAGTGAGCTGCCATCTTTTAAGATTTCTTGCAGGAAGTGATGTCATCAACTCTCAACTTCTATAACCTTGCCCATAACAGTATAGGAAAGTAGCACAAAATCACTTCTAGACAAGTGATCATTACTTTCTGTGCACAAATATTTTCAGGGCTTGTCAACTTAAAATAAAAGAAGAGATTTTCAGAAGGATTAAATAAGATTGAAAAAGTTGAAAAAGAATATTTAGCTGGTTTTGTAATTTTTAATAGGTCCTCACCTAATGCTATATGCAAAGTTAAGAGTCGATGACATCACTTCCTGTGTGAAATTTTAAAAGATGGCAGCTTACTTGAATTGAGCATCACATTTCTAAGTGATCAAATTTGACCATATCAAAACATTTTTGCGTGTTTTGCGAAACATGACAAGCATATATATGGTTATAGCTACCATATGAGGAGAGAGATGGTTTGGCAAGGAATATTCCTTTAATTTTTAAAAATCAAGATTAAATTGAATAAAAATAATTTAATCCAAGATAATGATAAAAAAAGACACTATTATTTTTATAGGTTTCTGTTTCCGTGGTTCCTCCTAGCCCTATACCACATGAGGCGACTCAATCCCAGCAGCCTTTGCAACATGTCTCTCCCCACCAGGTTAACGTCATATCAATGGAGGACGAAGAATTCTCGACAGATGATGAACATGTAGGTTTTACACCTAAAATTTTCACTAAATTTTTCATTTCATTTTTATCTATGTTTGGATTTCAATATCTTATCTGTGTGTTTGTTTGTTTGTTTATTTATATTTATAACATTGGTGGAGAAAGATGCAAACATTGTTGATACATTTCCACCCTGGTTAATCTCCCCTTGGATTTTGAGTTGTCATTCAATATCTACAACTACTTTTCTATACTTCATTTGCAACATTCATGCTTGGATCACATCGATCGCTTTTGTTTAAACACAGAATGTACTACAATAGAATGACGATGCTCGAATAACATGTTCCAGAAGTGAAGAAGTATAAGGATAGCGATTATGCTTCGACACTATTCCTTAGTGCAGTATGATTAAAATTATATAAAGTACTTTGATAGTCTATATAGTTCTTAATATACACAATTGTTGTCTGATTCCTCTCTGTTCCTTATACTGCGTGTTTACCAAGTTTTCATATATGCTAACCAGTATCAATTTACTCCCTTTCCTGCAGGCGGTCGAGAATACGATTGGATCATACCCAGGGATTTTGCAGAGATTGGAAGCAAGGCCCCATCTGTTGGAGGTTGTCTTAACTATCAATTTGTTTCCGTCTAATACGCTACTAATTTTGTGCCTGTTTTGTGATGATGTCATGGTCACCATTTTGAGATTTTTTGAATTGATTCTTGCAAAAGTATAAAATATTAAGATGACTGTATTATTTTTGCTGCTTTAATACATGTCTTGTATAGAAAAATAAGTTGTTTATCTCATATTTTCGTTAAATTTTCTCTTTTTCTCAAAATTTCACAATGGAGTCATGACATCATATCAATATATAAGTGTATCATATTTCGTTGCCTGGCAATGCACAGCAGGTTTGTTGCATTTTTTGTTTATTTGCCACCAAAAATCACATCAAAACCATCAAAGTTCACTGTTGTTATAAACCCTGAAAAAATTGTGAAAAAACGCTGAAAGATGATGAAAATACAATACCATGTTGTGGCTTTCGGTAACATACATTGACATATGGGAAGCTCTTGCTATAATCTAGCTTACTCTAATATGTTATATAAGGTAGTAGAGTGAGGTATTTAAGAGGTTAACAAATTTAATTAAACTGAATGCTTTCTTGATGTTTCTGGGCCATATGAACACATTTATAGGTTATCCTATATAAGGGCCAGGATATGGGATTATCCGAAGAAACATGATTTTATCTGTTGTTTAAGGAGATGTAATTTATCTTTCTTTGGATATTCCTACTATCCAAAAACTTGTATAGAATAACATTTTTATTAAGATAAAACGCATCTAGTCAGTCTGTAATATTTCAATTGAAACATTCATAATTACCACATTGGCCCATTGTGAGACAAACTTTGGGTTAATTTATTTAAAATTTCTCGGGAAATTGGTACTATGTTTGCATATACCGCTGGACTTATACAAGAGCTTTCTATTGTCTAAATAACACATCAGACATAGGTAGCCTTCCCAATGGTTGTATTTTCCTTAAAAAACTATGATTACATTATCCCAAAAATATGAAAAAAAGATTGAAATTAAAGACAACATAGTTCAATAAGTTTTATAAGAAATAATGTTCAAAAATAGGAAAACCAATTATTTTTGAGATACTTTTGTAAATGGACCACCACATTTTTGTGGAGTTTGAAGTAAATTTTTGATTCTAGTCAGCCCCACAAAAATACACTACACTTTGTAGATTGCACTACACTTTGTAGATGGCTACACTTTTTGTGCAAAGGAATACGATTCCCATCATCATTATCATTGTATCAAAGGCAATGGAGAAAAGGGCATGATGGGTTTGGTAACATATTGTTTGATTTTTACAAAACACATTTTCTCATTTAGAATTCAACAAAATTCAATGCTTTTTAGCACAAAGACATGACGCTTTTGTAATTGTATTTGTGACAAAATGTTAATTGTAAAAAATGATTTTTCACCTGGCTAGATGAAGAAAAAACTGTTTGTCGTTTGGATACTTTAAAAAGTTCAAATGGGCAAATGCTCATCATTAATCCTTTTTTACGAGGGTTGTTCAATGTAATTTGAATTTAGAATGATATTAATTTTGAACCACCCTTGTATGTTTATTGTTAGAACTCTGGAATATAGAGTAAAGTCATCCAAAGGTGATAACAAAGATAATAAAAAATGATAATAATTTTATCACTTTTTGTTAGGAAATAGTCAACAAGGTATACTCAAATCTCAACATAAAATTCAACTTCAAGTTGCTGCTTAATTACTTGAAAATTAATATTTATTAATTTTAAATAAAGAAATAGATTTGATTATACCTTGTAAAAATGCCATACTAATTTTAGCTTATTCCATGGATTTCAGATTCCTTGCTGACCCCACCTTGAACTTTGACCTTTCACCTTGTTAATTGACCTTTTAATACAGGAATGCCCTCATGCATGCAAGCTCCAATTTAACAAAATTAAAAAGTTTAGCCAACCCTTCAATGTAGGCTCATACTCAATTTATTGTTGTTTTGAATTTTGAAATGGCAATTTACTGCTGTTGATTTCAGATGTTTCTATCAAATATAACTTCTTTACTTATTCTAAACTACATGTACTATATGTAGATTTAGGTATTTCAAAAATAAAATACTGATGTTTTAGTATAGTGAATAGGTAATATTAGAAAGATTAATATGTTTTTAACTACACAGGTTCCTGTTGGCTGACTGAAAATAACTGCATGATTTACTGGTTTTCTATTTTCTTAAACTGACGCTATGTTTACATTTGTTGATTTTGATTTTTAAAATTGCTGCATGCTTACAAGGCAGTGGTGCCTTGAAATGATAAAAATGATAAAATGGCTGTTCTATGAAATCTGCTTACGCCTGAGATGGCTGTTCTGTTGAATCTGCTTACTCCTCCTTATTAGATCTTTTACAAGAAAATAGTGAAAACTCTCCTTTCTTGAGATTATCCTTGTCCCTTGACAATTTATAAAAGCTCTTATATTTGATTTGAATTTTCTACTTCTATTGATTTGTGCATAGTGAAAAAAAATTAGACCATTTTCAATATATTTGCAAGTTGAAAGGTCTTTTGCGCCATTGTTTGTTGAAAATCTCAAAATGTGCTGCGAAATTGAGTATTTTCATACAAAGTCACCTATTTTGGATCATAACATTTCCAAAGTTCCGACAATGTGTTTATACATTTTTTTCTTTATTTAGGTGGTCGACCACGGATCTTTCAGCGATATGAATATGTTGTCAAATAAACCAGCGCATCTTGCTGTTTTCATGCACTACTTGATTTCCAATAGTGACCCGTCACCACTGGTAAGTCAAAACAGAACTTAAGAATATTCCGAAATTATTTGTATTTGAATTATACGTAAACAGAACTTCAGAGCTTAGAATGTTTCGAAATTATTCAAATTTTGTGTAAAAATGATCAATGATCCAAAGTTAAGATATGAAGATATTTATTGAGTTGCTCATTTCATAAAGACTTGCGAAAAAGTTTAGAATATACATGTACTTAGGCTTTATGGAAAAACAATTGCAAGTACTTTGATCTTTTGATTTTGTATTCCAGTTTTTCCATTTGATAACTGAACAGTACCAACAGGGTTCATTAAAAGAAATGAAGAAATGGGCTTATGAGATACACTCAACCTTCCTAGTGGATAAAGCAGTAAGTGTGAATATCATGCATAGTCTATTGCATAGGCTCAAAAGTGTCCTGAATGTTACATCAAGAGAAATAGGGCTCTGTGATAGACTTAATACAGAAAAACAAATACTTTAAGTGTTATTATATAATAAAAAAGATTACAAAAAATTCATTTTGAATTCAAGGTGTTTTATCCTCTAAAATTGGAGTTTAGTTGTATGATGATAAAATATATGTAGTTCAAAAAAACCATTTAAAGCTTCATTAACAATAATCCCATTAAAGGAAAAACCTATAAACCATAGAAATAAATTATAAACAGTTATAGTACATATCTTTTTTTATTTTCAGCCACTGAGGATGAACGTAGAGGAAGGCATAGTATCAAATGTGGAGAATATTCTCCTTCATAAATGTGATAAAGAAGATGCTATGAGGTCAGTGTTCCATCTTGCCAAACATTACGCTAAAAACGAAATTGCAGACCTTTTGGCTGACTTCAGGACGAAACGTGCCTTAGGTATGGATGGATCTTTTGAACTGCTTGATGATTTTTTCATAAAACTTATCCAAATAAATGTGAATAAGACCAACATATTTGTCATTTTTGAAAAATTTTCAGACACATATAACAGTTACATCTATAATTGTAAGGCCATATGTTAGAATATTTTTATGAAAGTTGAAATGATAAAATAAGTTTAGATTTTAAATACAGCATAAACTTCTCATTTGATAACTATAAAATGTACTAACATTTATACATTCCAGAAAAATTGCATTTATTGGTTTAATATAAACAGATAATCAAAAATTAAGTAAAATTCAACATACTGCACGATATGTGTTAATATTTTACCATATATAGGCATGGGGAACCTCTATGGAACACAAGACCTCAATGATCACATGAGCAGTAGTGCAGAAATAGATATTGCGGAAAAATACATGCTACCTCATTTTTACGACTTGTAAGTGATTATATGTATGGTACGAGTTCATGCGTGAAAATGCCCTGGCGGTTGATAGTTTTTTCATGGAAAATAGAGGGAAAATGAGAAATTATCAAGTAGTTAAGGAATTAAAGAAAGTCCACAGGCACGGCACAAAATTAAATTGTCCTAATGACTGAAAATTAGAAATTGATTCAATGTTTCGAGAACATTTCTAAGATGAAAAACACACGTTTAGAATATCCGTCTGCTTGTTTTGTTTCATTTATTTCTCTCAAAAATTTGAATGAAGAAACGGATTTTTCGACATTTCTATACAATTTAGAGTAAGAGCTCTATGCCTGTAAACTTTATTACTTGATAATTTCCCTCTTTTCCACTCTATTTTGCATTTGAAAACATCACCATCATAGCATTTTACGTATGGATATAATGGGTAACCAAGATGCTAGTGTTCAAAAAGCATGCATCACACCACACCTTATGTCTGCTGTAATCACATTGTTGTTGTATATTGTCCAATCAGAATCGTAGGAAACATTTCAGAAAGGGCATTGTTGAAAAAAATGATGTGCTGGTACCGTGGTATCATTCAATTAAACAAGGATTGTCTTAGCTGGGCATAACAGTTAAGCATCTTCCCCTCATACATATTGACAACAAATGAAACAACCGTTGCACATTTTTTAGCATTTCTATATATCACGAAGTAGTGCTCTTCTGAAATGAAAACTGCGCTTACCTGATAGGACATCTTCCTTTTATATATATATGTTTTATTTTACTAGCATCTTGGAACACCCATAGCACACCAGTTATTGTTAATTGTTGTTAATGTTATGTTTATTTTGCACTGTTATGTGTTCGTGTAGGACTAGGGAGTATATTTGGGGACCACGAGCTGAGCTCTGACAACATGGATCGAGCCACCGAAATTCGTATCATTGATAAATACCTCTGGCCTCATTTTGACTCATTACTGTAAGAAAATTGTGCACTCGTTGCATGAACGTGTCTTTTCTTGCGTAAATGTACTTTTAGCGCCTTTGTAGTCTGTCCTTAACTTTTTGTATGGCTTTTTGGCTCATTCTGTTTTTTTACTGTAAGAAAATTGTGCACTCGTTGCATGGATGTGTCTTTTCTTAGTCTTGTATCAATGTACTTTTAGAGCCTTTGTAATCTATCCTTAACTTGTGTATGGCTTTTTCTGTTTTCGAACAATAGTTTAATATTGATTGTGAACTCTGATGGAAACTGTTTCCAAAAGAAAATATCCAAAGAACGTTAGTCATAGCTTTCAGTGTTTTACTTGAAAAATCTTGATAAAGAATTTGATACTTTCTCATTCATCGTCGAAATATTTTGTCTGCATGGCTCTGCATGATAATTTAACAAGAATGTGCTTAATCGGCAAAATATTTCTGTCTCCCTATTTACTAACTAGCCTAACACTGCACATAAGTAGTATGTTTAATATTAGAAAGTTGTCACTTTGAATGTATATATCTAATTAACTAAATGATATCTGTAATGTGATTGGTTAAAAATAAGTAGCTTTCTGTGAATCAATCAGAATACAGATGTCTTTTCCAAAGTTATTTCTGTCTACATAGAGTTTATTTTTAATTGCACTAACTTTTAAACTCTTGTAATCATGATATAAGGTTGTGCATGAACTGGCCAACGTTATTACATTTGAGTGATTTTCTATTTTTACTTATATACTTAAATTACTTACACAAATGAAATTTTTTATGTCGACTGTAACATTTAAAGATAGGTTGTAATGAGCAGTGGTCAGTTCATATTGCTTTAAAACACTGTTTATTATAATGTTTTTTAAAAAAGTATAAGGCTTCAAAATGAGATTTGTTATATGAAGTAACATACTAAAAGGATATCTCTTCCCATGAAACCTTATTAATGATGCATTATGGGATTGGGTAGCTTCATTTTTCTCTGAATTCAAACTTAAGCATGATTCTTCTGATTTTTTTTAATGCTGCTTATTTAGCACTAGAATAAGGTAAAGTACTGTAACGTAAAGATACATAAAGTAGAAAGTTTCATTGTAATTATTAAAAAAGTTTTGTCGAATGTGATAAATCCTGAATGCAGTCTAATGCACACCTTCAAGTCTTCATACATTCTTGGGGAAATGCTTGAGACTGTATGGGATTTCTTTTTCCTTAAATCAATGACTTGATGTGTTCTATATTATATTTGATTTATTATGGGTGTAGTCCATAAACCATAGTACATTTGATATCAGGAATAATTAATTCACTGAGAAATCACAAAGCATTGCATCAAAAATATGCATGATTTTCAAATGGCCTCGTAATTTAATGAAAATTAAAACGCAAAATTCAGTTGTAACGTTTGTTTTTTGAATTTCAGCGAAACTGTGAATGACCCTCGCAACCATGCCATGACCTTAGCCTTAGCAACATTTCTGAAGCAAGTGGGTGTGTCCCGTGCAAGCATCGAGAGACACCCGTCCTTTGTCTCCAAGGATAAGAAAATTTTCAAGTTTAAAACTAATAAAAAGGTGTGTAAGAATATGAAAGCCAATTATTCGTATAATTTGAAAATATAATGGTTGGATCACTTATTATTAGTCTGAAAGGTGTTCAAAAATGCATCATGGAATACCTAACCTTGTATTCGCGAATGCAACTAATGCCTATCAGCTACCGGATTAACCTAGTATTTTATTGGAAACTCATTTAGATATGAATAGTAACTGCCACTATTCCTTTCATATTTGAATGAGTTGGTCATAAAATAGTAAGTTAAACCAGTAGCCGACATGCGTTAGTTACATTCGCCAATACAAGGTTAGTTTGAAGGATATGAAACTTTCAAAATGTTTCCAAAATATATAAAACTGTTATACTGTATTTTAATTTATTATCTGTAGTGTACAAACATTTGTCTCAGCTATCGAAGTTTGCCAAAACTTAATGTCTCATTTTCAAATGTTTCATGAGAGTCGATGTTTTCTTTTGCAGATGTTTGTCAAGAATCACTTGTTTCAACCAGCCCACTACCATAACACAAGCTACTGTTGCCATTGTGGCCAGCTGATCTGGGGTGTCGGCTACCAGGGGTTCCAATGTTCTAGTAAGTGGGCCATAATTTAGTCAGTTCTTTTATTGGTCAGTTTACAAATTCATTACATATTTTCCCCACAAACCTAAAAATTCACATTTATGGGTCTTCTTTTTGAGAAAATGGATCTTTTTGGGAAAATGAACCACATTACAAATATTGAAAAAAACGTCTTAAGCAAAGCCCAGAATTTTCATAGAAGAGGAAGATATTTTCATTGGAAATGGAAAAGTGAATATTGCATGGGGCTGTATACAGTGTTAACATTAACGAGCGGACTGGCGGTCAGGGACCAGTTGATTGTCCTCTGGTCCGGCAAAAGTTGCACAGGTGCTGGACCTTTGGACCAGTTTGTTTTTATGATACCTACATACCTCTAGAATATGTGTCCGCAGGTTTACTCTATTGTTTGTGGTCGTCTTGATCAATATTGACACGAGCGTATTCAGCAGATATCTGGTTCACTTTTCAAAACTTCCTTTTTCACGGAGGAAGTAGAACATTTAATTCTCGCTAGAATCGATTCGCTAAACTGAGTATTACATACAATTACCGAACGCCTAGCTTTTTTATGGGCTTTTCTTATGGGCGTTCGGTAATTGTAGGGGAGGGTTCGCTAAACATGTACCGTTTGAGTACAAAAAATAAACTAACTATGTTTATTCTCAGATTTTGATTTTCTTAGTGTTACAATTATAAATCCTACAATAGAGATGTTGAAACAGTGTTAAGTGCTTAAAACAATCATGAATTTATTGACCAGTGAGACTTTATACGGACCAGCATCTTTTTTGAAATGCTGGTCATTTTAACCAGCACATCCTGTTACGGACCACCTAATTTTGATGGAGAACAGGTCCGTTTGACCAGGCTGTTTTTGCTCCTTAATGACAACACTGGCTATATATGATTATTTCTGGTCTTGGGGTTGTTGATTGTCTTGAGAAAGGTACATAGGTGTCACATGTCACATCAGAGCACTTGCTGTTGTGTCCTTATCACTATTAATTACATTTCAAGAATCACGAATCGGCAACCAACAGACATTGGGATGCTATAAATGATTTTTCTTTGGCGCTTGATGATTGGTTAGCATGTACTTAAAATTCAGTATATACAAAAACAAATTGGGTATTGGTTGTTTGCATTTAATTCCCCTCTTACAGACTGTGAGACTAACGCCCACAGACAATGTGTGGACCATGTACAGGATGTCTGCCAAGGGTCATCCAAAACCAAGATGAAGAGTAAACGATCGTCAATGTTGGACAAAATCAACGCGATTACACGAAAGCCTAGTCAACCAAACCCTGCTGCAAGTAAGCGAAAATTCCACCCCTTTTCTACATTTTGAAAATAACACCAATTTTAGATTATTTATTTTTCATAATATTTGTCATGAAGTATCATTTCCATAATTCTGATTCACAAAACATTCCTAAATTTTTTAAATCATTGTTTTTATTTTTAACATTTGGAATTATATATTCATAAACAAATTTTTCATTTTTAACAACAGTATCCAAATTGGTCCAAGCTCATCTAGGTATTACTTAACATTATTATAATGGCACCAAAAGTTCAATTGATGAGTTAAATAAATAAAGGAGTTAATTTTTGTAAAATCCAAAATTCTGATTCAAAACATAACAAAAACATTTTTGATTTCATATTTGCAAGTTTTCAAACTTTAACTCATTAATTGATTCAGAAAAAGTACACCAAATTATTAGATTTGAATCTTCGGTGAATAGATGTGCCACTTTCAAACTTTAATAACATAATTAACATTTCTGAGTATTTATTTCCATATTAACATAGAACATGATGTTAAATTCTTCCATATTAACAAAAGTACATTTTATACGAAATATTTTTTATCAGTGTTGATATTTTCGGAAAAACCGTCTTTGTATGATTTCTGGTAATGTTATAATGTTCCCAAAATTATTGATATTGACATGTTGAATTGACATTGACATGTTGATTATATATTGACATGTTCACTCTCACTTGTTGCTTCCACAAAAGGACTGCATTTGAACAATCATCATCACCATCACCATGGTAACGAAGTTAAAACATATATCGATATTGTACTGTATGCTTATATGAATGATATAAATGAAGGTCTTGAAATGTATTTTTTGTCTTTTTAATGTCTTTTGATGGTCAATATTTTATTGTAAATGGAAATGAAAATCTCTTTGATTTTTTGATATAAAACAACTTGAAAAATGTTTCAATATACCCCCATCTATTTCCCTAAATCATCTTTTGACCCTTTTAAGCCAATGATCTATTTCTAAGCCTATAATAATTGAATGTTTAACACTAGAATATTAATGTATTTTGTATTTATGAAAGTTATATTGTACTTCAAGATCTTCATAAAATCTGGAATGTTTAATATCGCAATGCTTATATCTCATACTGCACTTTTCCAATCCCATGATTCCTTGAGCCCCAACTTTGAATTATGGGTAGCATATTTATGGTGAATATGCTATTTATAATTCGATCACTCACATATCACATGTCGGCCCCTTATAGACACACACACGTACCTCTTTACAGTTTTCTCACCAAATGATTATATTTTATTTTTTTATTATTTAGTTTTATAATTTAGTTGTTCTCATTATTTGATTAATTTTGATATATTACTCGTACTTAGTTTTGAAGTCTCAAAGGTTATGCCTTGGTCACATTTGCTCCGATTTTCACTATGGCGCCTGGCCGATTGAGTATTGTGTTCAGAAATGTATTCAATTTTGAACAAAATACTCAATCGGCTGGGCGCCGGCCAGTGAATCGCAGGCAAATATGACCCAGGCATTATACAAAAATGCAATCTATACCTTTATGACTTTTTAAACTCAACAATTTATTTTTCTTAATATTTTGTTGCATGGAGTTTGATTTAGTTTCACTTTGTGTTGTGCTGTGCTGTGATGTGTGGATTTTTGTTTTTGTTTATTATTTTGCATGAATTAGTTTATGAATACACATATTTTAATAAAACATATTTTTGTTTAACATTTAATTTTTGATAAAGACTATATTTGTGTTATCTCACTTTATTTACTGACAATTTAAAAAACAAAACTTAAGAATTATTTTATTCATTTATGCAAATATAACTATTAACTCAATGTTTTTATAAAAGCATCATATTTCTGTTTTATAACTTATGCTTAGAAACCAGGTAACATATTCTTTTAACTGTAATTTCAAATGTAACATACAAAATGTAATATGTCTTTTGTCTTGAATAATTGTAATCTAATAAAAACCTTTTGCTCACATTCCTATTTATCATAAAGCATAAGAAATGGAAACTTGCGCAAAAGTGACATCTTCGTAAAAACATTTTGTTCTAGTTCTTCTAAGGGGCCTTCTCTTGCTTATGACACTAAACTTTGAAACGGCACCTTACATCTGTAATTCATTGTGACATAACTATAATGGTTATTAACTAAAATGGTTATTGACTATTATAGATATCAACCGAAATGGTTATTCACTATAATAGCTATTAACCAAAATGTTTATTGACCATAATGGTTATTAATGATACGGTAGCCTGGTTTCTAAGCTAAGATTTCATTTTGGTCATACATTTTCTGATTTTCAATATTTTATTTCTATTTATCATCCTTCCCCACACCTTACACACCATTCTATTTTGGGAAATAGGGAGGAAAAAGGAAATAATCTATTCTATTATATGAGAAAATGAATGGCCATAATAATATTTTGTATAAACAACAATTAAGGAGCATGTAATACAATTAAGAAGCATGTAATACAATAATGTAACATGTAATACAATAAAATAACATGTAATACAATAAAATAACATTATTTATTACCATTGAAAAGTAACTTGTATTTCCATGTTGGCTTGTAGCATAGTATTTCCTTATTGTACCCTCACAAATTCACATCATTTTCTGAATAGTAGTTATAGGTTGTCTGTAGTTAAGAAATCAATTTTATTTTAGTGCACAATGAAACCTCTATTTTCTTCTTAGTGCCACTATGTTGTGAAACCTCTGTTTAGTGAACACCTATAGTTTGAAAAAGTGTTCATTTTCTGGTAGGTGTTCGGGATAAGAGTGTCTGTATTTGGATTCATTAGAACAACCACATAGAATCAATAGACTTTCATTTACATGGAATTCAATAGGGGAAAATTCAGTAAATGGGGATGTTCTTTTAATAGGGTGTTCCTTTAATGGGGTGTTCTTTTAATGAATGTTTTTTTAATTTGTTGCTCCTTTAAGGGGTTGTGTCTTTGATTGTGTTCTTACTTAAAGATGTCTTCTAAATAGGATGTTTATATATTACTTTTTAAAGGGTATTCATATCATAGGGATCACATTCTAGGGAGGCTACCTTATTGGCTTTTCACTAATGGTGTTCATTAATTAAACATTGTATTCATATTAGACGCACTTTATGTATATGTTAAGTTATGTTTAAATTCAGTTCTGATGATACTTGCTGCATGCCCCATGGTCTTGTACAATAGTGTAAATCATAAGACAAACTAGTAATGAATACAAAAAAAATTAAAACTGCACACTTTTGGAAATTTAAATTAAGCTATAATATCTTTAAATAAAAAATTGTCTTGTCTCAGTAAAAAAAAAAAAATGTGAGAATTGTGAAAACGTGAAGAGTAATCCAACATTGCTTATACATAAGGCCCTGGGCACAGAGAATTTCAATATTACAAATATGTTTAATATTTCGGACCATTTGATTCATCCAAGATCCAAAGAAAGCCAACAAGAGCTCAGTTTGATTCTGGACTAAGTTTTACCAACTTTATCTGGTTATTATTTTTATTTCTGTTATCTGCAATGTTTTCATGGATATTGAATGAATATCTTTAGAGACCACTCCTTAAGGAGACAATGGGATATTATATGTTCATTATGTGTAGTTTCACCTTATAATACAACAAATCATCGAAACACAAAACCTTATCTCTATTAAGATGAGGATATTTTCTTGACACCTGTAATAAACTGTAGAATCTTTATCTTACTATAATGTATTTACTAGCTTGTCTTTTGAGTTACATGTACTATCTTGTGAAAATTGTCATAGTGGCCATGTTTTAAAATGTGTGTTAAGAGCTATAAAAAGGAGTAAGTAATGTATAAACTACATAGGCATGTAGTAAATACTCTGAATTATATAAAAATGCAAGAAAATCAGACACTTTATTCAAATTATAGAGAGAAATCACATGAAATTAACATGGCCATTGTGAAATTTTTAAGCATGGAATATGTGTTATTGTCTACTATACTAGTACATTGACTAATGTCTTGCCTCCCGCTTGTTGCATCGTGTCGCACAGTGCCTTCCCAGCATCCCTCGCCAAACCCATACGCCACATATCCACCCCCACACACAACCACGACGCAATATCCGTCATCACAAATGCCAACGTCGATACTCTATCCTCCAGTTCGAGAAGCACAGAGGCAGCATGAAGAAAAAGAACGGGAGAAAGAACAAACCGTGAGCCCAACAGGATCTTCGGTCTTCCATATCCACAGTGCCCTACAGGAAGAGGAGGAGTCACAAGGTAAAATGGCGGCCATTAAAAAGCAGACGTATTTCAAATATTTTGTGTTCAAAATTTCAGTTGTGTCAATCAGCAATTTTTGCACAAAATAGTTGAAATTGGAAGCTTAAAAATATCATGAGAAGTCCAGGCCATATAAATTAATCCACGAGGATGGAGTCTCACTTTCGAGAAAATTCGAGAAAATTCCCAAAATACCTTTTTTCCCTCTAGAGTAGATTTTTGCTGCTCGAAATAAAGTTTGACATGCGATATGCAGACTTTCATTAGGTGGACTGGTTTTGAAACCTTGAAGTTTGAAAAATGCTTCATGATCTGTCTAGTACAGTTGCCAGTTTTTGGTATGGAATTGAGTATTCTGGAGTTGAGTAAAAGTGAGTATGGTTTGAGTAGAAATGCATGTTATTTTGAAAAGCCTTGTTAGAGTATTTTGTTTGGAAAAAGTCATTCAACTCAACTTTGATATTTCAAGTTCAAGAATCTCGAAGGCTGTATGGTTACACCGAGACACCAGGCCGAGAAATTACACATTATAATGAGGCAGATATGTCGAAAGATATCGAGGATGTTAAGTGGGATTACGTTGAGTATATCGCGGCTCTCTATGCTGAGACGCCACCTTTATGTGCGATAGGTAATCATGCATGACCGTGATTGTCATTAAAGTAGAATATTTAGCTTAATATTTGAAGAACGACGCTTTATTTTTCTAAAATTATTATTAGAATAATGGTCTCACATAGATCGCAAATAAGTTATTTGTTTACTAACTGTCCAAAATGGCAGTCTCCAAGATGCATTGCAGTCATTTGAATAGAGGTTATCAAATAATATGGATGCCATATTAACCAATCAAATTCCTATCCGATAAACCAGAACTTGTATTTTTCGCTTGCTTTGTGTCGACTCCATGACTCCTGTAAAATGTTACAGATGTATAATAACATGCAATTTGGAAGGCTTTGTTTAAGGCTTTGAAAGTTGTAAATGAATGTATGAAACACATCAAATAAAAAATTCTAAATGTTAGGCTAGTGTTGTTTAACATTAAAGCTTTGAAAACCTGCAAGTTGTATTCAGTCTCAAGTTGGCTTCAAAATTGAATGTCATTTTTATAAAGTCTCCTTCATTCAGTAATGTTGACCTGACCTTAATCTCTCATAAATAACTCCAATAAAATTGTATTTGTTTGTACACACAACCTTTAAACAAACAAGCCAATACAGGCATCAACAGTTTGTTAACATACTGTTGTAAAAAGCTAAGTTTATGGCTTTAGAATATCAGCAGCATAAACACTCTTAAATCTTACTATATGTGCACAGTAAGTGAATTTGTATTTTCATGTAAAATTATATTAACTAGATTAAGCACATTCATGCAATATTTCTAGATCATGTATATGGAATATTGTGTTTCCACAGATGGAGCTTACGTCAAGCAGGAAGTAGAAAATCAAAGAAAACGAAACTTAACGTTTAGGGAAATGAAAATGTAATTTAGTATATTGAACCTGGAGAGTAACACTCATTTATCATTTAACAATAATAACACATAGAAATGAAAGATTCATAAGTTGAAATGTCAAATTCATGAAATTCAGACTCTAATATCAGAGCGTTGTATTACAGAGAAAGCCAGCAATAGAGTAAACCGCCTTAAGGATAGGTTTGAGGAGATGGCCAAGACATCTGGTGACGAGAGATCTCCGGGTGACGGGCCTTCAGGCAGTAGCAACGAGACACTAGACAAGGTTGAGGAAAAGTAAGTTTATTGGATATGTTATATTTGATGTGTTATATTGGATATGTTATATTGTTGGATATGTTATATTGGATATGTTACATTGGATATGTTATATTGAATTTGTTATATTGTTGGATATGTTATATTGGATATGTTATATTATTGGATATGTTATATTGGATTTGTTATATTGTTGGATATGTTATATTATTGGATATGTTATATTGGATTTGTTATATTGTTGGATATGTTATATTGGATATGTTATATTATTGGATATGTTATATTTTGGGTTTTTATATAGGATATGTTATATTGTTGGATATGTTAATGTTATGGAGGGTTAGTGTTAGGGTTAGGCGTCAACATATCCAATTTGTCTTTAATGTGATTTCAGTATATCAGTTGTGTTTCTCAATTATTATTCCATTATGCATCTCAAATATCCAATGTATTTCTTGTGAAATATCCATTGTATTTTTCAATTATCCAATGTATTTCTCAAGTTATCCATTTTGTTTCTCAATCACTCATTATGCATTTCAAATATCCAATGTATTTCTCATGAAATATCCATGGTATTTCTCAATATCCAATGTTTTTCTCAAATAATCCATTCTTTTTCTCAAAATATATGTAACCATTTAGGTGACCTTCATTATCAATCAATCGTGCATACATTCATCATGTCTCACAAATATATGTTGTATTATTCAAATATATCCATCATGTTTTTCAGGCCAGTTGCAGCAGTAAATCTAAACAGATCGGAAAGCTTAGACAAAAAACAGAAAAAGCAATCCAGGGTCAGACGAACACGTAGTGATGTCGCAGTTGATAATGACACAATATCAGCACTGTCGAAATCTGGCAGTTCGTCCAGTTCTAGTCTATCACCAGGGTAAGTTGGATTCTGGCTACATTTAGGATATTTTGGATATGCAGTATGTAAATTGACATTTGGATACTAAGCAGGGCATTTTGTATATATTGAATGTTAGAGCTGTTTTCACTGTGAATAGTTGACTAAAGTGTGCAAGAATTTTGGTTATTATCTTACTTTAAGTTAGAATATATATTCATGTGTTGTCAACTTTCTAAATGACACCTAAGAAGCTATTTCATTGTTGTAAAGTTGATGCCTAGATGAAAATGTCATGCTCTCCATCCTATAAATGCTCAAATAAGGAATTCCTAGACATCCTGCCCATTTAAGATAGAGTTGTTAGTGAGCGATAATTGTTTTAAATAAAGATTAAGATTTATTATTTCAGGAGTATTGACAGCCCTAGTAACTCAACAGAGGCTGTTAATGACAATGTCTCCATGGTAACGACAATGACCACAATTTCCAACCAATCAGAGTATGATTCAGACTTCGCTGCCGATTCTGAGCTCCCGTCCTTAGATACATTTATACCTAAAGATGTTATTAAAAAATTAAAACCGAAAGAGAAAAAGCGACAAGAAGTCATTAATGGTAAGATTTGCTGCTGGAACAAAAAATAAAAATAAATAGTTCTGGGTAAATTGTGTTTCTGTACTCATATTTATTGGTAATTAAAAGTAATATCTGTATTTAATTGATATACAGTATTTTCAATAATTTTTTTTTATCATTATCATGGTGACACGATTAGATATATTTCATGTATATTACAGGATTGCAAGTTTATCGAGAATCTAAGAAAAATATTTAAATGAACTTCTTTCTTCTTTTCAGAATTGTTCCATACTGAGATAAACCATGTACGGAATTTAAAAATCCTCGACCAATTTTTTGAAAAACCAATGGCAGGAGAATCCTGGATTTCGTGGGACTTTGTAAAGCTTTTGTTTCCAAATCTCCAGGAGGTGTTGCAGTTACACAGTGCTATAAACACTGCCTTTAAGGCGAAGAAAAATGAAAATATAAATTGTGTAGTTGGAGACATAGCTAATATATTCCTCGCAAGTGTAAGTAGTTTCACATTTCTATGTTCATGTTTCACATTTTCTTATATCATGTTTCACATTTTGTATCAATATATTACATTTGCTTATCCACATTTCGTTAATGATTTTTTTCATTCATGATTCACATAATCATATTTCCATATTTATAGTCCTTATTTCTTAGATCATATTACACCTTCCATGTTCATATTTCACATTTTCTTATATCATGTTTCACATTTCGTATCAATATATTACATTTGCATATCCACATTTTGCTAATGATTTTTTCATTCATGATTCACATAATCATATTTCCGTATTTATAGTTCTTTTTTCTTAGATTATATTCCACCTTCCATGTTCATATTTCACATTTTCTTATTTCTTGTTTCACATTTCACTGAATATTTCACATTTGCCTATTCACATTTTCATAATGATATTTATCGAGGTTTCATATTTCCAAATTGATATTTACTCTTTTCATGGTCATATTGTACATTTCAATATCAATATTTCAATGGTCCTATATTTTCACATTTCCCATTTTCATATGTTGCAGTTCAAAGATGAGTAAATATTTCAATGGTCCTTTATTATATTCACATTTCCCATTTTCATATGTTGCAGTTCAAAGATGAGTCTGGTGAGAAATTCCGCAATGCTTCTGCAAAATTCTGCAAGAACCAAACAGTGGCTCTAGAGACATTAAAGCATAAGCGGCGAAAAGATCAAAAATTGAATCAATTCCTAGATGTAAGTGTTTATTAATACAATGTGTAGTTTTCTGTTCTGCAATTTTGAACGCCAGTGAGAACAGACAAAAGTGTTGAGATTCACATTTCAAAGATCCTAAATAAAGTCATCTTTGGCAGATTAAAAATGGGACTGAACAAAATGTCCATATTAAAAGGTGTACAGATTAGAGAGGTGTTTGAATATACATGTTTAACTGAATATTATGAGTAAACACGAGCTATATTGAAAGATACAAAAAGGGCAACATTAAAAAACTCCTTAATCCATATGATTTTTCTGTTTGTTTCAGTCGATCGAGAGCAATCCATTGTGTCGAAAGTTGCAGTTAAAGGACTTCATCCCAGTCCAAATGCAGCGGCTTACCAAGTACCCCCTCCTTATAGAGAACCTCATGAAGTATACATCTTGTAAGTAAACCAAGTACCCTCTCCTTATAGAGAACCTCATGAAGTATACATCTTGTAAGTAAACAACTGACAAATCATAAAATGGTAGTTCTTTCAGATTTAGAGAAAGAGACTTCAAACATTCTGTTGCTGAAAGTAGTGAAATCGTTTAAAGAACCTAGTTGAGTCAAAGTTGAATCCTTTTCAATATTCTAGCATACTACGCATTGTCTTTGATGCCAATATTATTCATTCATCATGATATATATTGCTATTTTGGGGGTCTCTAAATAAAAGAAGAATATTACAATTTAATAAAATATGTGATTGAGTTGGTCTTTTAGACTGTACAATTTTTGATATTTTTGAAGTCCATATCCTGACTCATTTGCTGACTTATCCTTTTTAATTTCCTACAAATTAGAATTATCACATTTTACACCATTAGATATAATAGAGTATATATTGATTTATAAATTTATAAACCATCTTGAGTTGTTATAACTGCATCCTCAATCATACAACTGCTCTGAATGCTGGATCAATAATGAATGAAATCCCACTTAAAAAGTATTCTTCTTGCTTTTTTCTAAAAAACTGAATTGATAGGAAATATTTGAAAACATTTGGATATAATTTAGAATATTAAATACTGTACATGCCTGCTTAAATTATTCCTTGCTGAGTTCACTCTTTTCATTTTAACTTTTATTTTGAACATGATGTTAGTGAATTTTTATCCATGGTGTCTGTACCAGTGTGTATCTGTATTATTCAGTGATTGCAAAAAGACTGAAGTCACATTGTATCTGGAGGCTGAAGCCTGGACATAAAAAATTATTGCGGTCATGTTTTGAAATGGAAAATACAGAGGAAAGAGTGAAAAAAGCCTGGAATAAAATATATGTTGATGTACCTAAGACTTTAAATTGTAAAGATATGATAAAAAATGATGTCATTCTTTCAAATTTTTAAGAGAAATTGAAAAAATAAGCATGAGCAGACGGACATTTTTAACTTATGTTCATTGATCATCATCTAAGGGCATTTGCCTTATATAACTCAAACAACTAACAGCAAACCTATTGACAGCTACATATTTGAAATACAATCATTAAATTTACTTAACACAAACTTAGAACTTAGCCATACAGACAGAAAAAGTATGAGTCATTTTTTGAAATACGTAATCAACATGGAATTAAGTGAACAGATATGTGGCTAAGGTAGCAAAGGAAAAATGTCTTATAAGAGTTCATCAGATGGAATCAAATCAAAAACGGATAAAAAATGTAGGTTGGTTTCTGTTACAGCTTCCACAAAGGAGTATGAAAATTTGAAAGAAGCTCACCACTGGGCTAAATCGAATCTAGCGGTTGTGAACCAGGCAGTGAAAGAATGTGAAAATGTGCAAAAATTACGAGAAATGCAGCGACGGTTGGACCGTACCCAGTTTGATAGGTCATCTAACTCACTAGCAGCGGAATTTAAGGTAAGTTGTTAAATCTTGTTCTGATCGGGCTTTGTAACCAGGGGTTTATTGACCAGAGGACTTCATCATTGATTACTGTTTTAGTATTATATTTCATATTTTAGAATTGTGAAGGCAAAGACAGTGCCAATATTCACATGATTTTCCTCAATTTCAAGTGCATGCAAATGACTTTCAATCAAGTTCAAGTCTATAGTTGAAATCTTGTATTGGTGTAAATTAACTGAAATGAGACAATAGTCATCCAGGAAAGGGAGTTTTGCTTATTGATAAACTCGCATATTATTCAACATTTTTAACTAATCTTCATACTTATATTTCAGGATCTTGACCTGACCAAGCACAACATGATTCACGAAGGAAATCTAGTTTGGCGAATCAGTAAACAAAAACAAATCGACCTCCATGTGCTTCTATTCGAGGACATTTTAGTATTGCTACAAAAACAGGACGATAAACTGGTGTTAAAATTTCAAAGTACCACAGTTGTTGCTGGTAACATGGACACAAAGTTCACCCATAGTCCCATTATAAAACTAACTAATCTGCTGACAAGGAATGTGGCCACAGGTGAGTTGATTGCGGCTATTGAAGCTTTGTAATCATATTGAAGATTAAGAAATCAAAAGTGAAGTGTGCCACCATTAACTAAAACCATTAAGTAAAATGAGAAAACTCCAGATTCCATTGATCTGAATATCACTTTATACAGTTTTCAAATGCATTTGCCACAATTACACAAAACTGACAGGGAAATTTTACCACACCTACACACGAGACTTTTTTGCCTTGATTACACCCAAATATTTAGGACCCTTACACATTGATTACACATAAATTTCTAAGACCTTTTTGCCTAGATTTCGCTCACTTAAATTGCTGAAACATTTTGCCACAATTACACACACAGGATCACATACAACGCTAAAATACACATAAAATGAGCAAGTATCTTTTGTCTTCAGATCCCAAGGCATTCTTCTTAGTGAGCACATCAAGTGTAGGTCCACAGATCTATGAGCTGGTCTCATCTACCAAAGATCTACGAAAAAAGTAAGTAGAATTTATTCATAGCCATTCATTGGAATGATCAAGGGTTAAGGTGTTCATTCATTAAGGGTGTTTTTTCATCAAACATTAGGGTATTTATTATCTATTATTGTGGTCATGTCAGTGGTGTTTATTCATCAGGGTGTTCATCTATTAAAGTGTTCATCCATCAGGGTGTCCATTCATCAAGGTGTTCCTTCATCAAAGATGATTTTACATTTGGGTATTCAAACATTAGGGTATCTATTCATTGGGGTATTCATGTCAAGGGTGTTCATTCATCAGGATGTTCATTTATTTGGGTGTTCATCCATCAAGGTGTTCCTTCATCAAAGATGATTTTACATTAGGGTATTCAAACATTAGGGTATCTACTCATTGGGGTATTCATGCCAAGAGTGTTCATTCATCAGGGTGTTCTTCCATTGAGATGTTCATTCATCTATATGATCTTTCATGAGGATATTTATTCATTAGGGTGATTATTATAATTTATTGGTTATATCCTGAAATGTTCAAAATGAGTACTAAGATATGTTTAGGTTAGATGGGATTTGCTATTCTTTGGAACTGCGGTATGTTTGTTCTAATTTGTGTTATAAAAGATGGCATTGGCCTTCAAATTAAACTTGGTTGAAGTTGGTTTGACTTTAAGCAACTTTGAATTGGATTCAAAGTGTTCACATTATCTACACATGGTTTCATTCAACTACACTACAAAGTTGTTATCTCTCAACTACAAAGTTTTTCAAACTACAAAATGTTTATTGTTAGATGTTTACTACAACTTAATGTTTGCTTGGTTTTCATCAGTGTTTACTACAGTTCAAACTTCAAATAGGTTTGATCAACATTACAGAACTGCACTGAACTGTGTTGATTATTGTGACAAGATATCATATTGTGACAAGATATCATTTTTTCTGACATCATATGTTGATGATGTTGATGTTTATTAAATGGAGATATCCCCATAACAATATAGCATGCAATTATCTAGGTGAACTCAAAAATAATATATATCCTTAGGTCAAAATGAGCTATATCATTGCTAAATATGATGTTTAGGACTGTTTAGTATTTGTATAGGAGACTTTTTAGCGTGGCGAAAAAACGATTATTTAACAGTGTCAATTCGCAGGGCCATGCAGGTATACTCTCTAAGAAACTTGACTACATTCTTGGAGTAAATGGCAATGAAATAATCAAAAATATAGCAGCGAGTACTGTATATATTTTGAAGTTCGTTATACAAAGTGTACTTTTACATATTTGAAATGGTTAAACAGGGAATGTTTTGGGATTGATAGTTTATTGTGTGACCTACTATATGCAGGTTGAAAGGGTTTAGAATTTAAAAAAGTAAAGTATCAACTGGAGTTTATTCATAACACGTTCAATAGATACATTCTTACATTTGAATTGTATGTACTGTGTATCCCTTGCAAAATATCCACTTATTTCATTTTAGATTTTTTATAAGGTCATGGACTTGTTTACAATTTATTGATGGGTGATTTCAAAGATTCATTTAATGTTTCTGTGTAACACTTTTCTATTGGGAAATTATAGAACTTTAATAAATAAAATATAGTTATGGCTTGATAAAGCTAATCTATGATAAGATCTTGGTAAACATCAAAACATATTATTCCCAATATTTCAACCTGTTCTTTTGCGTTTTAATTTGTTGTTTTCGAGCTTGAACTTGGCATTTTTTAATAATGTTTGTTTGTATTTGGGTGTCATCTACTCTCACAAGTTCAAAATAATTGATCATTTGTCTGTTTTGCTCATCCTGGATTGCTATTTTTTCTTTAAGGGATCATGGGATTGAAGGGCCTCTTGTGGCACAATAAATGATGCATAAAGAATAATGGGATATTTCCTTTGTTGCTAATTTTTATTTCTATAAGCCATTTTTCATCTTGAATTCTGGGATTTACATCTTGTTCTATAAAAATATGTTCTTGGAATTCTGGGATTGGAAGTCTCTCATCTAGTTTGAAGGAATTCTGGGACAGAAAATCCTTCACTGACTTTGAAGCAAAGTATCACTGTCTTCTTCTCAACATGATCCGATTATTCGAAGATATCAAGATTCTTGATTGACATTTATAGGTTAAAAAACATTCTTCAATTGCTTAAATTATCGACATGGCCTTTAAACTGTCCGTCTGCTAGTGCTTATTTCACATCATTTCTCTCAAAAATTTGAATAAAATATCTGATTTTCTTGCATTTCTATAAGATTTAAAGTATGGTCTGCATGCCTGTTCACTTTATTCCTTGCTAATTCCTCTCATTTCTCATTTCTACATCATTTTATATTTCAAAACATGACCTTTAGATGCTGATTGATGCCAAATCATAGTGAAGAATTTATATTTCTGGAAATTGATAGAATCATATTATTGACATGTAATTTCATTTCATTTGAAATATATAATTTCTCCATTCATCAAATTGGCTTATATTTCAGTTGACAGATTATAATTCTACCAAAATTTTCAAAATTGACCATCAGTTGGTATATAAAATCATTAAATGCACCAAATATGTACATTTAGATGAAAATTGTGGAATTCTCCCATCGAGAATTTTGAGGTTTTGACTGTACGATTATATCCTCATTGGAATATAAAATCCTTAAACGCATTTTTCAACCTTGTTTTAAGTTATACTGATGGGTCTCTAACAAGAATCCGTGGGAGGAAGCTCTCTAACTTCTGTCTAAAATGTCCAGTCAATTATCAAAAACATAACACTCTTTCAGATTCTCTTTGAAGAAAGATATTTGGTCAAAGTTTAAAGTTAGTTTCCAAAATTTGATGAAAGAAAAAGTCTTAGAACTTCATATTTGTATATATTTACAAGGCTTTCATTTCAAGTTTTAACCTTTGTTTTCAACCCTTTTTGCAATTTGGGTTATCTTATTTTTGGAAAGTTGGTTTAAGCATTTAAAAGTGCAAGACGGCAAAGAAAATGCAAGAGATCCTATATTTTTTACATCTCAATGATTATAACAATCTGCTTGCTTGAAGGGTAATGTACCTTTCCTCCTATGGTTATTCAGATTTTAGAAGGGGAATCACAAGTCTGATTGGCTAAAACTGGCCATGTGACATGCACCATTGAATTCTGGGATGCACCTCCTTTGTCTTAGAAATATGTGATATTCTGCACACCTGAGTTACAATTTCATTCGATATTTTAGGAAATCTTTTAGATAGAAAAAATATGTTTGTTTATTCTGAAGAAAAATTATGATTTCGATTGGCAGTTTCTGGTTCTGGGGTTATTGAACTATGAGATTTTCATACAGGAAGTAAAGTTGATTAGTTTTAGTTCTATTTGTTTGATTTTAATCAGTTCCTCCAAGTTTTATCTGTGTTGTTTAGTATTTATCTTTCCACTAGCCACTGGAACGTAAGAACTCAAGTTTTTCTAAATAAACAGTATCCTCAGTTACAGGTAAAACTGATAGCAAATCCGTCTGCAAAATTCCACTTGGTCAGCCACATTTTACTAATTTTCTTCGCAAAATTTGAATAAACTGTCTGATTTTCTTGCATTTCTATATAAAATAAAGTCTCCTTTTATGTATGCATGATTTATTTTTCTCCGATTCCACTAATTTCCTCTATTTTTCAATTTAAAAACAAACCAGCCATGATTTTTTTGATTAGCTCAATATTAATAGCCCAACCCGTTTGCATACAAGAATAAACAGAACTTGTGTTGTTGTTTCACACATTTTGATGCTAGTTTAGACCCTTCAGGCAAAAAATGCAAAAATTGGTAGACAAAGGGCGAATACGCATCTACAAGCAGTTCAAACCATGCTGTGAAACCTACTGCATCTAATTTTGCACAGGCCCTTCTAAAAACCATATTTCAAGGGTAAAACATATTCCAAAGCCTAATGCCTTCTTCAGAAGGTCTCCAAGACTATTTAATTTTCAAGTAAATCCTTTCCCGATTAGATCACAGAAGATGCTAAACACAATCCATAGCACCCATTATGTATTTATATTAGTACTTACATATAAAAAATTATATTTAAATTTTTATTTTAACATGAAGTCATACTTTATTCTCAGCAGATGTCTCTATGTCACCTTGAAAGCCAATATAAACATAGTGAATATATGAATGTAAATACATGCACGCAAATAATGTTGTTTTGCGATAGATATCTAGACTGATTTATCGATATTTAAATCAATAGACTGTACTCTCTTTTATTACCAAACTTACTGTGATGTGTAGTGATGAATTCTTGGAGCTAAATAGAGAAATCTTCCAGTTAATATTGTGGGAGTTTCGTGTTGATTGTTAGTTCTCGAGGTTACATTTTTGTTGGGAAATTTTCCTAGATTTTGAGAATAATATTCTCATTGTTTTACAAGGGAAGACAAATATTCAATTAATTCAAAGTATGACCAAGGAGCATAGGTCAAATAACCACTTTTAAATCAATAAAAATGATATCAGGTCTCATCATAGGTGAATTAGTCATTTAGTACAGCCTAAATAAGTATATTACCCTAGTGTTAAAGGTCATATTATGCATGTTTAAAGAGAGAAATGGACTTGATAATGAGAGGAAAAACCAAGGAATTTTATGATCAGAAATCAAGTTTGTACTCTGAACTGCTAGGAAATCTGTTGTTTTCAAAATTTGGAGAGGATTTGAGAGAAATGAATGAAAACAGAGTGAAAATTTTGTGTGGGGTGGGTTGGTTTAGTAGGTAATGGAGCAAGTAGCCTTCTTTCAATACTAGTGGAATAACACAATTATACTTGTGAAAATGGCTTTGTTTGGGTTAGGATTTGTCTTATTCCTGGGTCACTTAACCAGTTTTGCCTCAAAAGATCACCTCTAAAGTCTGTGATTGATATATGTTTAACAACTAGACTTTAAAGGGTTAATAATGTTTGTATATGTAAAGCATGTTTTGTGGTTTTATTTGCAACAGTGGTTTCATGAAAACAACGTA